CAGGCCGGCGGGCAGCAAGGACCGGAGCTCAGCGTGCGCCACGTCCTTACCCTGCAGGGTCCTTGGCCCGTTGCAGCTCTGCATTCCTAAACCAGATCCTGCAGGTGAAGCTTTTGGAGCCTGAGGCCAGCGAGTTCCGGCAGCTCTGGCCCAAGACGTGTAACCCAGCGCAGGTGGCGGCGTGTCGGGGCGCGCGGGGCTGCCGGCGCTCACGACTCGCTTCTTTCTGCAGGAGTTCGTAGTCACCACGCTGAAGAGCCTGGGCTACGTCACGCTGATGTGTGGGGATGGGACCAACGACGTCGGAGCGCTGAAACACGCGGATGTGGGTGAGTCCGCGGGCGGGACTCGCGGGCGGCCCTGGCTGAGCTTGGCTGGCGTTGCTACACCCAAACCCCGCGTTTCTCTGGGGTTTTGAGGTCTGGGATGGATCGGGCCCACGTCGTTTGGTGGCACAGGTGAACGTAAGAAGGATCTCTGCGCTGGCGCGCGCACCAGCAGGCAGCGGGAATGAGCTGCGAACACGTTTTCCTGCAAGAAAGATTCTTCCTAATTAATTGTTTCTCCCCTGAGCTTTACTTCAAGTGTAACGTGTCTGAGGTCCCTGCGTAACGAGCCTGCCCGCCTGACTCCGGGTGGAAAAAGCAGTTGGGATCCCTGCTTGGTGAAAGTGCTCTACCAGGAGGGGGGTTACAGCCCTCTTTTCGCTGCAGCTAACGCTTTTGCCCCCCTACAGGAGTGGCCCTGCTGGCAAATGCTCCCGAGAGACTGCCCGAACGGAAGAAGAGAGCTCGGGATGGACCGGGTGACGGGAGGCCTGCCCTGCCCTCGCTGGGGAGCGGGACTGTGAAGCCCACCTCCCGTGGCGCCAAGCACAGGGTCATGTCCCAAAGAGAGGAGCAGCTGGCTATCCAGAGGGTTGGTAACCAGATGCTCCTGAACTTTGTCCTTGCTTTTGTTCCTCCGCTGGTTTACTGCTAACTCGTGAGAACTGGAAATGGCAGGATGTCCTGGGAAAACACCAGCTTTTCTGCTTCTTACCCTGAAACGGAGCAGATTTGGGCAGAGAAGGTGCTGCTTTTGCAGCCAGGCTCGAGCTAAGGCTGCGAGCGTGAAGGCTTCTCAGCCTCACCTTGGAGCAGGGGCGTGGGGGAGGGTAGTACAGATCACCTGCGGTCCGGGCTGTGACAACGAGGGGTGTGTTTGGGGGGTTTTTTCTCTCTCTCTCGCCCGCAGGAGCGGATCAGTCAGGTCCTGAAGGATCTGGAGGAGGAGCGCGTACCCGTCGTGAAGCTGGGCGATGCCAGCATCGCAGCCCCCTTCACCTCCAAGCTCTCCTCCATTCAGTGCAGTAAGTGCACGGTGGGCGCTGAGCAGCTGCTGTCCCACCTCCACGTGTCCGCGTTCCCCGCGGGGAATCAATCTGGATCTGAGAGAGGCCAAGGCAGGGGGCGGGGTGGGGAGAAGCGCCCCCCAACCCACGGCTGTGCCCCCTTTTTGTGTGGAGCCACCCTGCGGGGGGCGTTCCTTGGGTGGGGACGCGAGGGGTTGCTTCCCTCCTGCTTCAGGAGAGGAGAGGACTGAGGGACAAAGCCCCAGAGCCCGGCTGGTTCCCAAACGCTGCTTCCTCTCGCTCCTTAGTCTGCCACGTGATCAAGCAAGGCCGTTGCACGCTGGTGACGACGCTCCAAATGTTCAAGATCCTCGCCCTGAACGCCCTGATCCTGGCTTACAGCCAGAGCGTCCTCTACTTGGAAGGGGTGAAGTTCAGCGACTTTCAGGCAACTCTGCAGGGGCTGCTCTTGGCCGGCTGCTTCCTTTTCATCTCCCGCTCGAAGGTGAGGGCAGGGAGGCGCGCGGCACGGCGGCTGGTCGATGTCAGTCACACCAGGATTACCGAAGGAGAGCCTTTCTCCACAAAAAGCCCTTTTTTAAGTCACTTTTTTTTTGTTCTTCTGGACTTGGGAGGCTCCTGAGGGCAGCGCTTGCTTGACTGGTGGCTGCGGGCGGCTTTGGTGAGGTTACAGGAGGAGGTGGAAGAGGTGGGGGAGGGTGACGCGGCCTGAGGCTCCGCTGAGGCTGTTACTCGCACCTGACTTTAGTTACCAAATTCTGGGAAAGTTTCCTCAAACCTTAGGGCAGTTCAAAGCTCCCGGCAGCCGAGCTGTGGGTCTTCTGTACGTGTGAAGTGGAACCCTCGCCTTTCCTGAGAAACACAAATACGGGTCGAATTCTGCTGGAGAGCTGCCTGGGGATGGTCACCGCCCTTCGAGTCAACCCCCCGCGCTCTTTTCCCCCCCCCCCCCCCCTCCCGCAGCCTTTGAAGACGCTTTCCAAGGAGCGCCCGCTGCCCAACATCTTCAACCTCTACACGGTCCTGACGGTGCTGCTGCAGTTCCTCGTGCATTTCCTCAGCCTCGTGTACCTGTACCGCGGGGCGCAGGCGCGCAGCGACGCCAAGTAAGCGCCTCTTCCTCCGGCACCGCGGCGGCGTTTTCCCCACGTGCTGCTCGGGGGGGGGG